TTATCTACTCTTTTTCACAGAAACATAAGTACAGTACAATAATGTAGCATATTTATTCATCCCAATTTACTTTCCACTGGCTATTGAAGCAAAATTTTTGGGACGAAGTTGGATAGGCACATGGAAGTGCTGGGATGGGTGTGAAAGGGATCTGCCCTGTATGGGCCAGTCGGCCTCCTGCAGTATCCCACTTTCTTATGTTCTTATGTTCTAAATATAAACAGCAGAATTAAGGTGAGTCTACTGATTTAAGTACATAAATAAAAAGTACAGTACTGTAAAAACTGTCATCATACTGTAGATATCTTTAAAATATAACATACATAATGTTATGTACAGTACTCCAGTACAGTACTATATCTTGAAAGCCACTAGCATACACTAATGAACATTTAGGGATTGCCATAAAAAGTACTGTATCTATATGGACGCTCGGACCATGCAAAAATTTTCAGGTTTTAATTAATTGAGGGAAGAGCTAATGAGACGGTTAAAAAAGGGAATGAAGCCGTATTTTAAGGTCACTTAACTAACAAGTTAATGTGATGATCATAATAACAAGGCTGTGTAGACAAGTCAATACCTGTACTAACAAGTACACATAATAAAGCTGCAAGAATAGAAACCAATAATGTTGAGTGAGAATATAACAAAAGGTTAGTGGTGGTTAATACAAATGGCCAGCATGGGAATTAATACTTCAAGCCAATAAAAAAGTTAAACTGGGAACATTGCAGCATAAACAAATCAACTAGCCAGAGTGGTGGACACAATTGCCAATGAGGAGTTCAGTACAAATTACCAGTGTGCAAGTCTGTACAAGTTACTAGTGTGGTGCTTGAAACAACTGCTAATGTTCAGGTCAATACAATTTGTGAAGAGATAATTTTATTTTACCTGTGTACACAACCAACCAGGAATCAATACTGTACACTTGGCCAATGTAAAGGTTTATACAACACAAATGACCCATTTAGAGATTAATATGAAGCAACTTGTCAGTGTGATCATTAACTCAATGCTGAACATGGTAGTAAATAAATTACACACAGTAAATGTATTTAATGAGAAATATTTCAATAATTGACAGAATATCCAGGCAATATCCTCTCCACATTTCTTTTTTATTCCCCAGAAATGCCAGTTTTCAATTGAATTTTCCAAAACTTAGAATTGCACTGTATGTGTACTGTACATTAATATAGACTGGAGATATGTAATGTACCGGTAGATGTAAAGATGGTTGTATACTCTGAAGAGTTCTTGATTTATCTATAAATCTGTCCAAAGTTTAAATAATATTTGTATCTACCAGTTTTCAATGTATACTGTATTTAAAAGTCACTTGGTAAAAATGTTGCACTGTGTATGGATGGTAATATACACTATGGCTTACCAATGGTTTAGTTCAGATAAACATGTCTGCCAGTCCCAATTACAGTATAATACAGTACAGGGCTGGGGTGTAATGTCATATTCATAGTGCCTTCTAATCCCAGTCAACATAATTACGTAATTTCCCATTATTGTATGCAACCCCAATTATGTGCACGTGTTATTTGATTGGAACCCTATCATCATTTGCCTTCTCCGTGCTAAGCACTGTATATATGTAGACATATATACAGTACTGTAGTAAGTAGACTTAATGAAGATAATGTTATCAGTAATACTCCCCTTCATAGAACACACTGCCACATATACCTTACATACTCCATCACAATGTTAAGAAAGGCAATAAATTGCTGCAAAAACAATTGAAAAGTCTTGTTCAAAGGTAAAAAAAATAATGTGATTACCTTATGTGGATCATCATTGCAGGACTATCTTATGTAGGGGCCATCTTTGTGTGTGTGTGTGTGTGTGTGTGTGTGGAAAAAGGGCAGTGTGTGTGTTTGTTTTGACCCCCTCCTCAAAATACTGTGTGGTTCAATATTGTACAACTATCCATTGTGGGGGGTCAATATTTTACAACCATCCATTGTGGGGGGTCAATATTTAACAACCATCCATTGTGGGGAGTCAATATTTAACAATTATCAAGTGTGCAGGTCAATATTCTACAACTATCTACTGGGGGGTCAATATTTTACAACCATCCATTGTGGGGGGTCAATATTTAACAATTATCAAGTGTGTGGGTCAATATTTTACAACTATCCAGTGTGTGGGTCAATATTCTACAACTATCTACTGGGGGGTCAATATTTTACAACCATCCAATGTGGGGGCCAATATTTTACAACCATCCATTGTGAGGGTCAATATTTTACAACTATCCAGTGTGTGGGTCAATATTCTACAACTATCTACTGGGGGGTCAATATTTACAACCATCCATTGTGGGGGTCAATATTTTACAACCATCCATTGTGGGGGTCAATATTTTACAACCATCGATTGTGGGGGTCAATATTTTACAACTATCAAGTGTGGGGGGTCAATATTTTACAACCATCCATTGTGGGGTCAATATTTACAACTATCAAGTGTGGGGGTCCATATTTTACAAGTATCCAGTGTGGGGTCAAAATTTTACAACTATCGAGTGTGGGGGTCAATATTTTACAACTATCCAGTGTGGGGTCAATATTTTACAACTATCAAGTGTGGGGGTCCATATTTTACAAGTATCCAGTGTGGGGTCAATATTTTACAACTATCCAGTGTGGGGACAAAATTTTACAACTATCCAGTGTGTGGGTCAATATTTTACAACTATCCAGTGTGGGGGGTCAATATTTTTATCCAGTGTGGGGTGTGGGGACAATATTTTACAACTATCAAGTGGGGTCCATATTTTACAAGTATCCAGTGTGGGGTCAATATTTTACAACTATCCAGTGGGTCAACATTTTTCAACTATCAGTGTGGGTCCATATTTTACAACTATCCAGTGTCAATATCCAGTGTTTTACAACTATCCAGTGGGGGTCAATATTTTACAACTATCCAGTGTGGGGGTCAATATTTTACAACTATCCAGTGTGGGGGTCAATATTTTACAGCTATCCAGTGTGGGGGTCAATATTTTACAACTATCCAGTGTGGGGGTCAATATTTTACAACTATCCAGTGTGGGGGTCAATATTTTACAACTATCCAGTGTGGGTGGTCAATATTTTACAACTATCCAGTGTGGGGGTCAATATTTTACAACTATCCAGTGTGGGGGTCAATATTTTACAACTATCCAGTGTGGGGGTCAATATTTTACAACTATCCAGTGTGGGGGTCAATATTTTACAACTATCCAGTGTGGGGGTCAATATTTTACAACTATCCAGTGTGGGGGTCAATATTTTACAACTATCCAGTGCTGGGTCAATATTCAGCCCATCCTCATTGTCGAACAGGACATGCCTAGCTAGTTATAAGGTAAATATATAGCATGTTGACTTGACTGTCTAGTGATTAATGACAGACTGGTCGCATGGTCAGGTCAATACAGAGCAATCTAATTTCAAGAGCATTAGATTTAGTTATGTAACTCCTACTTGGAACCAAATAAGGCGAACCTCGCTAAGACGATGAACATTTATCATCTTCTGAACAAACAAGTATCTTGAACCAAAACTTATCTTAGTATGACAATGACAAGTGGTTTCCGTCATATCTGATACCGGCATGATCATTCAGTGACGAGACACACACCTCTGTCTTGAGGTGAGATGTAATAATTTTTTAATAAACAAAACTGATAGACTCAGGTGCATATGTATAATGCTCATTACCGGCAAGCATAGTTTACTTCATCAAATTCTCTTCACCAGTGCACCTAAACTATTAATCGTATCCAAAAGGCACAGCAATAACATGCATGTGATACCTACCTTGACAAGGGTACACAATACAGTATATCCATTATCTACGGTTGTGAAATTATGATATGTAGTGGCAGCTTGCGAGAAGTTGAGGGGTATTGTGGCCTGGCCTCGTGAATGCCGCACAGTGCATGTGGTTCTATACGAGTCTCTTACTTAGGGTCCATCACTGAGGCAGATGTCAATCAGGATTCAACACAGAAACCACTACACTCCCTCTCTCCCATACAGCAATGTCCCATCATGTCATTTGTATATTTCTATTCAAATTACAACGCAAGAGAACGATAAGCAAGCTAAACCCAAAGTTGGTATTATTTACATTAACTTTCTATACTTGAATTAAATAATTTTAATTTGGTCAAAGCAACTGCCACTTGAATTACGAATGAAAAACACAATATTAGCATCAGGGTATTTGTGGAACATGCATATTCATCCGACAATTATCACACCATGATATCATTTTAGCGCTGCACTAAATCTAATTACCGTCACAACCTTTCCAACACAAACAGTCCCGTAGGCTCACCTGCCACTCACACAGCCTATTACGAGAACGTTGCGGCCACCCAATTTCACCTGTCGCTAGTAACTTTATTTCTCTGAAGATACTGTAGTTACTTTTTTTATTTTAGAGAGGGAGAGAGAGTAGCTAGTGCCTTATACAACTACTGAGAGTGACATTAAGTTGACATGCTGGGTGATAAATGGGGGAGGGCAGTGGCAGGAAGGTGGGGGGGGGGGGGTAATGGCGTAGTGTAGGGGGTAAGTGGTGGTGGTGGCAGACTGGATGGGTGGGTGAGGTAGGAAGGTTGAGTGGGTGAGAGCGGTGCGCATGACCACCTATCGTAGAGAGAGGCTGGCAGGAAATGAAGAGCTCACCGCCCTGCCACAACACGCACTTCCTACCGTCACATCACCGTAACTGTCATTTAGCGACAACTCACAAAACACAGGAACAAACATTCAACCACCACCAGTGAGCCTCAAACTCACACACGAACTTGCTCGCTCGGCATCACGCGCCTTGCACCCCCTCCCTAACACACCAATATCCACTCTAACAATGAACCCGACTGTGTGTAATCTAATAAGGACGTCTGGAGAAGGACCAAAACCTAACTCAAGACTGCATGCTGGCCGTCTACACATAACAAGTGTCGATATACTTACCCTGCTGTTGGGCAGCTTGTGCGGCCAAGTACTGCTGTTGGGCGAGTAGTTGGATCTGCTGGTGGTTGGGCCCTCCCTGTTGTTGTTGTTGCTGAGCATTTCGGAACAACTGCTGAAAAGAAAAGTTAACGCAAATAAGAACATTGAAGCTTAAGTTGTGTTTGTGACATACTGTACTTTTATGACTCATGAGCACAAAGATCAATAAACGTCCCAAAAGGTGAAGAAAAAAAAACACCCAACATATTGACAACTAATCGAGGAATCCTATGAGACGTTTATAATCTAATTTATCTACCTTAGATATTTTGCTTATTCGTACTAGCGATATTTTTTAAGACAAAAACCGAAAGAACAGGTGCACATCAATAGGCCCCTGCACACAAATTTTACCTTTTTTAGTTTAGCTCCGTCGTAATCAATGAGAGACTTGGTGATGTCCAGGTGGAAGCTGTACTTCTTTTCCTTAAGCTTCATCGTTAACAATCTATGGCACAGGTCACTCACTCGCTACAGAATATCACGCCTCTTACTCAATGTTTCTCTCACCATGTTATAAATAAAATCGTATACGTGTTTCCATAGTTCAGAACAATGTGTCCATCACATACCAGTTGCATGAAATAAACACTGGTAAATAAATCAATGAGATCACACACACTCAATTTCTGTTCCCATTTTTTGGATTACTTTAACGTCCCAGTTTTTTATATAATGTACGTCCTAAAGAAAACAAAAATGAAATAGATGAGTTTGGTTAACAGCGTGGTAGTATGATACGTGAAGAATGAAGATGAATGGATGAAGTAAGGCAGGTGGTGGCATGTTTGGTTGGGCGTGAAAGCCAGGCATCCAGAGGCCTTGTCCATACGACTCACGTCCTGACCTGGCCTCTCTGGAGGCTCTGCTGCTGCGGCTCCTGCTGGTTTTGATTCTGTTATTACCACATCTATTACTGCTCTTTCTGTTGTTAGAGGCAGACTTGTCCATGACAGCGACCATCACAAACAAACCCAGCTGGTTAGACAAAAAATGCACAGTCGAGCAACGCTGAACAACCACCATCCACAAAACTAAATTCCAGACAATTCAAGACAGGCAACGGAAATTATCAAGGGAAGCTCCCTCACTTCAGCATATATTCGCCATGAAGTTCAGTGATGGCAGCCCGAGTAGCCTCATTCCACAGATGACTTACGTACCCAGAGATTACGATGCGAGTCGAAAGGGGGAGAAGAGCGGTGAAAGTAGGCAGAGGTATGATCAGGTTAGCTTCTTTATGGATGTACATGGTAAATTATGCCACACACGTCAGTCGGATGACCGGTAACCACAACACATGGCCACTAACAATTACCCGTCTCATCTACGCCATTACTGTTGTGTAGCTATATATGCATACGGAAATGACCGACACACATTATATACAGCGTAGACAAGCTTGGACTGAGTGACCTCAAGAGAAAGCGACTGTGTATTACACAGGTGGTGAGATAGTGACTGGCATTCTGCTACCCCAGACACTGCACGTCACCATCAACTACCGAAGTGGTTAATTCAATTTCAATTCTTTTAGACTCCAGTTGAGTTTTTACCATCGACTCACCCAACACAAGCTACAAATCTAATTGTCCATGTCGGCCAGTCGCCGGCCCCAACAAACGGGGGCCCCGCCCCTCCCGAACCTTAACGATCTCTCAATTACGGCTTCTTGGGTAAACACTGCATGCTGCCAGGAGTCTCATCCACCACAGACACGTCCAGTCACCCTCAGACATTTAATAACCCAACTACACATCATCACAAATCACCAATTTGCACTCACGGTACAAGTTATTGTTGTGCTTAACTCCACTATTAAAGGTAATGCATGGAGCATTTAACACCCGATGATGATTCCAGCTGCACCGCTATACCTTCTCAGCACTCTTCTTAATTAAAGTAATTAGTACAGGTAAAGAGAGGAGCCACAATTTAGGGAGCGAGGTGTGAGGGCGATGGCTGCCAAAAGACGTAACCCTCTATTTACCAGCAACAATCAAGGGGCAGCAGCAGGTAGTTGGGAATCAATAGTCAACAAAGAGAGGTGGCAACACACTGAAGCAAGGTGAAGGGGCGGTAGGTGGCGAGGACCGTCACACCACAGGTCACCCTCCAGTATGAGCTAGTAACCGGATCTACAGGCGGTGACTCAACTGGTCCAGAAGCATACTGTACAACACTCCTTGTATCAACACGGCGCCCAACGCTACTCTAAGATGATGTAACATTCAACCTGTTTACTAACACTACCCAACACCAACAGGCATTCTTAAAGTTAACCAATAGTATTCACTCTTCGTAGTCATGAATGAAATTCTGCAGCGAAAGGCGTTTGTAAACCGCTTCCTCCCGGCTCGGCACACACGTTGAAAACAAGGCAACCTGACTGTACGAGGGGAACAATTACCTCGCCATCTCTTAACACCGTGTCTTGATCGCCAAAAATGTCGATCTACAAGGTGATGACCAAACACGCGAACGGTGGTGGTGGCGATGAAGGCAGGGAAACGTGGCAGTGAGGTGTGTGTGTAAGAGGGCGGAGGGTGAGGAGCGTGACAACATTAACAAGAGTTAGGAGCAGACACACGGGCTACACGCTGTTATTCCTGCACCGTCCTCACTCCCGCTTGTATATTCCCTCCCCGTTCACCCAATTGACCTTGTTGCCAAAATTCCCGCGGCACACGTTGGAGAACATAGGAGCTGATTTACCCCCATTCCCCCCCTTCTTATGTTTCGCCTTCTCACACCGCCTAAGTAAAGCACTGAACACTTTGTATCCACCAAACTACTGTTGTTCGCGGTTCCCCAACAAGCTTATACTACTAAAACTTAGTTGGCTGAATACTGGGAAACTTGTTAATGCACCCACCGCCTTCCCTCAGGTGGTGTTCAACTTGCAAATTAAGTTACGATTTCTTAGACTGTCACAACTTCCAGTATTGATGAGCGTCATTTTCACTTCATTTTATCGGTATTTATACAATCAACATCACCATTCCTTCAAATTCAATGAATCAAAATAAAACCAGAGTTTCAGAAATTATACTTAAGTTTTAGTAGAATAAACAAACAGAAACATTCCACAACACAACTATCAAACTGGCACTGTGATAGGGTGTGTGTCAGTCTTAGTTCCATATTATTCGGATTCATCCCTAGAGCTCATGAGGTAGAGGCAGTGTCAAACATCTTACATCACCATCTGTTACGACAACACATCACACATTATGTAACTATCATACTCACAACGTATCGGCACCGTCTCCAATATCACCAACTACCATTTCAAATCTTCCAAAGAAGTGAATACAATGTGGGCGCCAGTTTAGACTAATGCTGAAGTAACTTATTACACTGTAAACACCACAAATCAGACCCCCTTCCCTCCGCCAGATTTTTTTTCCAGCCGATTTCCACACATACAGCAGCGAGTCTCCGGTAAACGGTTGGTCTTAATACTTGCTGCAAAGCTTAATTTTGCGCTTTTTCCCCCGATATCACATTAGGGATAATGTTACGACAATAACAAATCTTTACACGACCCCCAACAGTGCTTCTACATTGTGATAATTGAGTACACATGGTTCAGTTTTACAGACCAGTACAGCTTATTAAAACTTACTGTACCACCACCACCACCCTGCCTCTATTGCTAGGTGCCATGTGCATCATCACTATTATTAACCAACATCGCCACTCTCACCTCAACACACTTCACTGTTACCACCAGTCTTCATTAACAGCACCACTCTTTCTCTCCAAACTAGGTCACTCAGAGGACACTGTCGCTAGGTCACTCACGAGGACACTGCCACTAGGTCACTCAGAGGACACTGCCACTAGGTCACTCAGAGGACATTGCCACTAGGTCACTCAAGGTTGCCAAGAGGACAGTCAAAACCACTCAAGCGACACTGTGAAAGCCAGCCAGGCGACACTGTCAAGGCCAGCCAGGCGACACTCAAGGCCACCCAGAGTTCACTGTCAAGGCCACTTAGAGGACAGTCACAAGAACACTCTCGAGTAGTATCAACCTGGTTATCCAAGGCGTTCGAAGTAGGTGGGTCAATATACACACACACACACACGTTAGGGCGACTCTCCCCAGTTACACCGAACAAACAAAATAAAGTATTAGCGAGTCAACGTGGAGCCCAGCAGGCGACCCTTAATGAAGGATGCTCCAAGATACATATGAACTTGCTTCACTCCCACTGACGTCATAAGTTGCAAGTGTCAGGCGCCAGAGATTTTTTTTTTTAAATATATATAGAAGACGTATACAGTTTCCTCAGACGAAGCAAAGCTAAGCGAGCTAGAATTACAATATACGACCCAACACTACACACACACACACAAGCAAGAATCACCAACGGTCTTGTTACTCGCCAGCTGCCAGCACTACATACTGGTCTAGGTAACTAACAGGTGAAGAGGTGGTTCCAGCATGGCCGATGAACGACACCTGATACCAAAAGCGCGCGGTAGGGGGAGATCTGCACCTCACACCAACAATAACACGTCTCCACAAAATACTCCCCAAAGAACTACGGTATACTTAATCATCATAAATCCTATCATTAATAACAAGGACATCAGTCATGGTCTAGTGGCAAGGGTTCTGGAAGATTTTGGTGCAGAATGTTGTATAAGACGTCGATATGTAGGAAGCGAGGTAAAAATCTTTAAAACGACCACTCATTACTATACTATTAAAATACATTGTCTTCTCTAAATAAAAGTAGGTCGGTATTCAAAATTTTCTACGAATTATACAAATCAAGTGAAATGATGTGCCCAAAAGAAAGTGGGTGAGGCACGGCGAGGAGAAAAGAAATTTCTAGGAAAGCTCATTACAGAAAATAAAGAGCTTCCACCCGTGAATACAAGGTGTGAAGAGCGATACATACACGGCGATTGAAGAGTTTAAAGGTATTAAAGGGAAGAGATGGGGGGGGGGGGGCCTACATTATACAGTAGATATATTAATATAGTAACTGAGCTGTATATGTCTAGGAGTAAGTGTGGATTCAAGAAGAGGTTCGAGAAACGTCGATTAGGGTCGTG